TGATTTAACCTTCTCACGCTCCATCTGTATTTTGAATTCGATCATACTGTGATCGCTCCTTCCAAGAGGATCCCTAACTGTGAGATCATTAATTATTCCTGTCTCATTACACAGGACTAGATCTAGGATAGCTTGCTCCCTCGTAGGTTCCATTACATATTGTTCAAGGAAATTATCGCAGATGCATTCTATGAACCCCTCCTCAAGGCTGCCATGACCGACCTGGTTTGACCATTAGATATGTAGATAAAAATCCCCCATGATAATTGCTGTACCATTTTTACATGCATTAGCTATTTCTATGTTTATTGCCCACCCAACCACGATGTCACTATTTGGTGACCTGTAGACCATACCTATCAGTGACTTCTTCTCCCTGCTATTCCTAATTTCCACCCAAATGGATTCAACCTTTTGTTCAGTAGAACCTATATCATCTTTCATTACCACCCTGCTATCATCCTTAAAAATCAGAGCAACACCACCTCCCTTACCTTCCTGTCTGTCCTTCTGAACAGTTTGATACCCCTGGATATTTAACTCCCAGTCATGACCATCCTGCAACCATGTCCCTGTAATGGCCACTAAATCATACCCATTTGCCATGATTTGCGCCGTCAACTCATCCACCTTGTTTTGAATGCTCCGAGCATTCAGATAAAGTGCCCTTATGTCAGATTTTGCACCTTCTTTTTGGGTCCTATCACCTCCATTACTAACAGCTCTTGAGTTCCCCTTCCCTTTAACTTTTTTCCTAATTTTCAATGGAGTTGAAGCTTCCTCATCACCTGCTAACCTGCTGCTTTGCCTTACATTAATTGTTACACTCCCTGTACCCTCACTCCTCCCTTGTCCCCTACTTACTAGTTTAAAGCCCTATTGACCACCCTATTTACCCTTTTTGTCAGTACACTGGACCCGGCCCTGTTCAGGTGGAGTCCATCCCAGCGGTATAGATCCCTCCTGTCCCAGAACTGATGCCAGTGCCCCATGAAAAGGAAACCCTCTTTCCCACATCACTCTTTTAGCCACGTGTTTACTTCCCTGATCCTCGCCTCCCTATGCCAATTTGCACATGGCTCAGGCAGCAATCCAGAGATTATGACTCCTGAAGACCCGTTTTTTAATTTTGTTCTTAGCTTTTCATAATCCTGAAACAGGTCCTTTTTCCTAGTTCTGCCTATGTTGTTGGTACCTACATGGACCACAACAACTGGATCCTCCCCCTCCCTCTCTAGTATCGTCTCAAGCCAGAGATGTTTCGCACCCTGGCACCAGGCAGGCAACACACCATGCAGGACTCTCTATCCTGCTTGCAAAGGATACTGTCTATCCCCCTGATGATGGAATCCCCTACAACTACAATCTGTCTTTTAGCTCCCCCCTCTTGAATGGCCTCCTGGACCATGGTGCTATGGTCAGTTATCTCATCCTTCCTGCAGCCCTGTTCCTCAGCCACACAGGGAGCAATTGCCTCATACCTGTGGGACAATGTCAAGGGCTGCATCTCCTGTGGTCCTGTCTGCAGAGTTCCTCTACCTGCCTCACTTGCAGTCACACACTGCTGTCCCTGGCCGCTGATCGAATTAACATTAGTTAATCTACAAGGTGTGACTGCCTCCTAGAACACAGCATCCAGGTATCTCTCCCCCTCCCAGATGTGCCGCAGTGTTTGGAGTTTGGATTCCAGCTCATCAATTTTGAGCCGGAGCTCCTCAAGCAGCCAACACTTGCTGCAGATGTGGTCACGGCCGTTCTCAATGGGATCAGCTAGCTCCCACATCATACAGCTATAACACATCACGTGGCCAGCCATCTCTACTAAGTTAATTATTTAAAATTAATTCTTTTTTTTTTTTGGTTTCGCAGTGTTCTCTCTTTAAGTGTTCTCTGCACCAGTAAGTTTACTCTGTTATATACTCAAACAGACTCTGGCTTTGCCTTCCGAACCGGTCCCAGAAGATTAGGCATCTAGGTAACCTCCCCAAAAGATAACAAAGAGATGAGAAAAAAATGCAAATAGCTTATCTGCTCACCACACTTAGTCTTTATTATTAGGTTAGAGGAGGTAGAAGGGTGGGAGACACTACACGTGTAGTGTCTCGGGTATTAGTTACTTCCCAAATTTATTGGGTGAAAGATAACTGCTATCCAGATGACCACTTGTGCCCGCTCTGGGACTCCTCCTCCGCTGAACAACTGAAGGCCACAGTCATGCAATGTAAGACTTTTATAACTAAAGCTTACCTTCCCAGGCTGCCCTCGCATTCCCTCCTGGACTCCTGCCGCTGAACAACTGAAGGCCGCAGTCACGCGAGGTAAGACTTTTATAACTAAAGCTTACCTGCCCAGGCTGCCCTCGCGCTGTCTCCCAGATTCCCGCCGCTAAACAGTTGAAGGCCGCAGTCATGTGTCCATCTAGAGCCATGTTGCACAATTTACAAATAAGTGGAATACCACTTATGAGCAAGATGACAGCAAATCATATTTTTAGTCAGAAGACTTTGAAACCTGGGCATTCTCCACTGCAGAGGGATATGGAAGCTTAGTCTTTGGCTAGGTTTAAAGTGGAGATTGATAGATTCCTAATTACCAATGGTGTAAAGG